ATGTAGTTAAGCACCGTCTTTAATGAATCGTTAAAACAGTTCCACTTAAAAAACTAAGTACTCGCCCAGAAAATTTCAGTCCTCACTATATGTTCAAAAACATCTTGCACAGTCCGCTCCAGTCCAACTAAGAATGGGAATGAAGTGCTGCAGATCTCGCCCGGAGAATAGTCGAATGAAAAATTTGGGAGCGATTGCATAGTCACCTTGACCAGCGGCGTCAGGATGATGAATGATTTTTTGGCAGTTCTCTTTACATCGCCCTACGAGTGTTTTCTTATTTTTTTATCATAATGGGATTTTCTTGGAAAACTTTCGATACTGTTTAGATAAAAGATAGCCTACGTCGGCAAGAAAAAAAAGCTTTTTCAAATTCGTAGGATCACATTGATTAGAGGAGGTCTGAATGACCTCAAAAAGTTCCTTCCATTTGTGCTTAGAAATCGTCAAAAAGCAGACCAAGGTGATAACGTGATCCATTGTATACTCATTATACAGTTCAGTTAATTTAAAGACGACCTTTTTGAGCTAAAAAACTGGAGAGATTCTAAATTAATCAATTGGTTTGCTTGTTAGCGTCCCGCCCTACCATCAGTGCATAATTCATACTCACAATGGCTGTCATCAGTGTTCTGACACGAATCCTCATCAAAGACGCCAGGAGACCTTAGAAGAGTACCATTTTCCATTGCAAGTTGTAAATTCAGGATGGATTCCCAAAGGTCTTGAGTGCGATTAAATTCCAAAGTAAATGATACCGCTGTTTTACTGTCATCGCTGCGTCACACAAAAAAGTGTGAAAATACAACATTAGATAAAAGCAATATTAAATTTACCGATAACTAAGTAAATTAAAAGCTATAATGGGCGACTATCGTACCCTAACGGTGTTATAATACTAAATAGGATATGGAAAGAAGCTTTGACAAAAGACGTTACCTTAGTGAAACTGAGACGTTCTTGATGTCTCGAAAGTGCGCGTCGTTAATGAATAATTCCTTAACCTGTGTTGAGAAACAGGCAAGCAACTGAGGAAAAAGGTTAAAATAATAATTTACCTGAGGAACTGAATGATTTGTTACAAAAAGCAAGGAATGCCATGGGCGCATTTGAGTCACATTTCTTACTTTGTTGGAAAACTCGTCCTGATCAACGTCTCCAGCCTTGTATTGCAGGTAAGGGAAGATAATGGTCAATTGTATAACCGTATATTGTCCACTAACATCTGTGAAGACAAAGGCAAACGTAAGCAGTTTGGGTGATTTCTTATGCAGCGTTAAAACATCTATGGAAGGGAAATTCATTTATCACTAAGAAGGCTAAATCAAATTTATTTCCTGAATGGTAAGCCATAAGCTAAAAATGGGTTGACAGGTATTATTTCATTGTCAAACCCACGGCCTTATAACCGAAAAAAAAGGTTTCTGAAGCATCACAAAGGACTCTTTTGTTCACACTCTTTTTCTTATTCAGGGATAACGCAGTCGTCCTTTTATGTCTTTTTCAGTTGTTCTCGTTCTCTCAACTTTATGATGATATTCTTCCAACAATAATCTTATTTGTTATATACCTAGACTTTCACTCAACAAAACGAGCACTGTGATCGGTTAATTCTTGGTCACGTACCTCTGGATGGACCGGGATGCAATTGTGCAGTTGTTGCCCACGCGCCGAATACAACAGTATGTTTTCGCCATAGGATTGTTTGAGGGAAAGTCTAAATATATAACAAAGCACTTAATGTATGGTCCCTCGGGAAACTAGTTAGTTTTTTTTTTCCCTCGAGTCCTGATGATTCCCTAGACTTCGTCTCAGGAAACATCAGGACTCTCGGGAAAACAAACTAAATGTTTCCTTCGGGACCATACTTTAAGTGTATAATTATTATCTAATAATTTAGACAAACAAGTACATTCTCTTTCTCCTTAGTTTTTAGCATGTGATAAGTACACTTAACAAGCCAGACGTCTGCACCAATCTATGTTTGACTCTTTTTAATCTGAACTTCTGCGGTTTTGTTATACTGTCAATATGAAAGAGGATAAATGTAATGACACTTCTGTAAATTATCAATTTACGCACAGTGGCAAACTTACCAAATGCTGCTTTCCATCTCTCATCAAAAACACTACGAGACTGTTCGGAATACCAAATCTCTAAATTGTCATAGTACGCAGTAGGGTACGTGTATCTGCCTAGGTGGTACGTGCCATTCCTTACCAGTCCGTCGATTCTACCTCCACAGTAGTAATGAGGGACAGAAAAGCTGGACAAGGGGTCATAATACAAACCCAAGGTTCCTACCCTGTTCCAAACAATCCCCAGATAAAACCACACTCCTTGGGGTGGCGTTATGACGTATTTGCAGTAAGTAGTATTGCCTAAAACTTCTACTCGTAATCTGCCATTATGATTTTGGTATATGTTTACACCTTCGAACAAAAGTCCGTCCACTTTATTCCCAAAGTAAAACTGCACTCCGGATTGGGGAATAATTTTCATAAGAAACCCGATGGTAAAGTCACATTGCGAAGGTTTTCCCAAACATTGCTCTTTGTAGCCTTTTAGTTTGACGTAGGTGTCCGGTGATCCATCAAGATAGACGCCCCATCCTACTGGTGATGGCTTCGATGTTACGATCCCCTTCTTTTCAATTTCATTGTCGTTATTATTTAAGCTCCATCTTTTATAGGAATCTGAAGAAGAGAAAAACGGGAAAAATTAAAACGTGGTATTATTTTCTTAGCCTTTCTCCCCCCTTATCCATTGTTTTAAGCTAATGCACATAGAAAGGGGGGATTGATTTTTGCTGGCCATTTCGAACTTCGGAAGTTTTACCTGCTTTGACCGAGAGGTTAACCGCTGGAGCAAGAAGATTGTGTGATGCCACGAATAGAATAAACGTTACCTGGAAAAGACAAAATAAAAACATGGTTTAAGTTATTAATAATGTCCATAATATTTCTTCATCACATTTTATCTAATTACCCACATGACTAAACGAGGTACAACAGATGCGAAATATGAATGTTGGATGTAATTTTTTTGTGTCTGATTTCTACCACTAAGGTAGCCGGCATCTTTTGAAAGAGTCCCATAATCCATTTAGCATTAGTTTCCTTCACCAACGTTTTCTATAAAATTTTCTTTTTCTTTTAAATTTTGTGGATTGTCCTCGACCGCAAAAATGAGTTTCACAGAAAAAAGAGCTGTTAGATAAAAGGCCGTAAATAACTTACAGCCCTCAATCCAAAAAGATTCCTCGTCACTCTTGTCACCACGCTATTTTAGCATGGAGTGAAAGTCAAAAGAGAAATCTGTGACCTGGCGCCTTTGTATGCTTGGTTAATTTACCTGAATAAAAGTAACTACTTGAAAGATGAAATAACGAGTAAAACACTAAATACCAACAGGATACATATCGCCCACAGAAATGATGGTCCAGAATTGATGAATGAATTAGATCATTACAAGGGTGTTTACATTTTTTTAATTAGAGCAATTCATTCACGCTGACGAAAATAACATTGGCGTAAGTTAAGGTGCAAACTTTTAACTAAAATTAACATATCCTCCTATACTGCATGCCTCTTAAACTTTCCTTGATAACTTCTTTACCGCTGCTTCAGACTGTCTTTGAGCTAGTAAACTGAATCTAGATACAATTCAATCATATTTTGCAAAACCAGTGTTATTTATATGTTCGTTCGCCCAGTACTCGCAGGGAAATAATTTTCAATCGTTATGTTTTCTTTTGTTCTGTACAGTACTCTGCTCACGCTAGTAAGCTTTCTGAAGAATTCAAGCTTTTCAGAGAAAATAATGGTAATGAAAACTTCTCATAAATTGTTATGTAACATGATTTTGGAAAAAAAATTATGTGATAAAAACATCGAACTCCGTATGAAATTTTCAATCCCCTCCCTTTCTAGGTCAAACAAAAGATCGTTTCAGTCTTTCAGTTAACAGTTTTACGGGCAGAAGACACCTGTAAAGATGTGAAAATCCTTCGATAACGCAGCCTAAATATGTTGAAAACCCTTGAAATTCTCATCTTCTACCAAAGCACACACAGGAAACTCTGAGGAAGTCAGTTCAGTTAAACAAACTTATAAGTCACAAAACTTCACTCAATAGTCTTGACCATGTGAAAATACATCGAACGTCAAATCTCGTTCAGCTTTCATAAACATAGACTTAAAGTTATGATAAAAATAGGAATAGGAATAAACAATTCCTAAAAAGGAAAGATTGTAAAGTTATGACTCATGTGACATACCTTGCATGAAAAAGGAAAGTTTTTCCTCAACCGATCCATTACTTATAACGTCTCCTTAGAACGGTAAGCAGTCACTTAGCAGAAATACATAACACAATCCCACGACAGCTGGTTTTCTAATTATTGTGCAATGAAAATGGCTTGCGGGGTTTCTATCGTGATGGATCGTGCCGCCTTTTATGTCTTTGTCAGAGGAAACAAAAGTGTTATTTGTTGGATGGTGAGAAACCCTCAAGGGGGTTTCAAGTTTGGTCTTTCGCGAACACAAGAGATCTGTTTTTTTGGCAATTTAAATATTTAACCACTGTCATAATTATTATTATTACTACTAACATTATCATTGACTTTGTGAAATATTTTGAATTACATTTTTTATAAAAATTAGACAGAAATGAACTGGATCCCTGTGCTGGAGGACTGGAAGAACCCTTGATTCACAGATTGCTGTTAGCCAACAACTAATCGTTCTTCTGAAGCAAAAATTTTCGTTATACTTGTGACAAAAACATCCACGCAAACAAGCCACGCAGGTGAAAATACCGTCGAAATCTCACATGATTTTTGAAGTTTTTTCTGTTTTTAAGATTTTTTTCCCAAGTTACTAGCGTTGGCACCATGGCCTGAAGCACCTGTTTGTGATGATAACAGTTATGTCATGTAATTTTAGCTGAGTAGAGATAAACTTCGACTTCAAATGATAGAGCAAGGTGCCGACATAGTAAGTAATTAAGTGATGTCTTTATGAGGGTGGCACAATAGTTAAAAACTAGTAAATTAGTAGACCTCAAGCTTTCTAGTCTTATGAGGCGGACTGAATAAATGTTGTCAGCTCTCATACAAAAGCAAGACTAGAGAAATCTAGAGAAATGTGTTTGTTTCTCGGAATTGGTACCGTGATCAACTGGTTTGGTCGAGGTTTATTTTGCTTGAGCGCGGTCGACTACGAAAGGTTATCAAAGTGGCACTTAGGGTGATTCCTCAGAAAAAAAAGTTATCGAACAATTTTTTAAAAATTTCCTTAAATGTTTAAAAAAATTGTTCGATAACTTTTTTTTCCGAGGAATCACCTTAAATGCAACTTTGATAACCTTTCGTAGACGACCGCGCTCAAGGAAAATAAACCACGAAGAAACCAGCTGATCACGGTGCGAAAACATTTGCTTGTCTAAGAGATACCACAGGCCAAATGTTCCTCATTTATGCATAAATCGGCACTAATCACGAACTCAGTTTCATCGGTTCATGGAACATTTCGCGGTTGCTGGAAGCAAGGGTTTTTTAAAGTAACAATTTAAAAAAATTGATGGTTAGAAAGTCTGGAGCGTATGGAACAATTTGGTATATAATCTACAGAAAAATCACCTAATTTTGACGACGTTCCTCGAGTCCTTGCTTTCAAGGTTGTAAATTGCATCTTCGAGTTACAGGCTTAGCGAACGCTTTTAGCTGCGCTTTTTTTTTAACCTTCGATTAATTTTTTTTTAAATTTCTCCAATCTAAAGGGATAATTTGTACACAAAAATTTATGCAATAAAAAATATAGGCTATCGTGCTCGTTTATGACCTAAAGACCATCGCACCTCTTTGCCTGGTCCATTGCTTGAAAAACAATACCGTGTTCTGGCAATGCGCGCGCTTGTTCACCTGATAACGTGATTTTTAAGTACAATGCAATACTGAGGAATCACCTTAATGCTTTCGATGGTGTTTGCTTTATAAGAAATTTCCATACAAGTGGAGACGAAAGGAAGTGTTTCTTCTTTTTAAAACATTTTACGTACCACATCTCCACGGGCTACAATAAAAACTTCCTTTTAATTGACACTTTATTGGTCAAAGGTCATTTCAGTACACCTAAGTACATAACCTATTTCCGACCAAACGATTTGGAAATATTTCTCTCCACTGGAAATACCTCAAATGAAATATGTCTGTGAATGAAGAAAAAGCTCCGTAGACTTAATAGCTAGAAGACTGAATTCGTGTTGCGAATTTCCTTTTCTTTCTTATGCATGCTGGTTCCCTGATCTTTTTCTTTACCTTTTCCCTTTTGGACGTCAACCTGCTATGTTATTTGAATAAAAGGGGTGCTGCGTCGGTGGGAGAGTATAACAAGGCAATTTGGTATTTTCAAAAGCAAAAGTTCCAGGTTAGTCATTAGTTTGTACTGAACTTCTGACCAAAAAGTTGCCTATGTTTTTTTTCGCGTTTGAATGAAATCACTGGGGATGGCGAAAATATAATACCAGTCTTTGACTCGTTTTGAAGTTGTTTAAAGTTTTAACGAATGATAGATTTTAACTGTGTGTTTGTGAGGGTGAAACGTGAGAGTGAATATAGTATGAGATCGGTATTTTCCTTTTGTGTCGTTTGTAGTGCTGACTGTCGATAAATTTGTTGGGCGCCATGGCTTCCCGCTTGAGTGACAGAAACAGGATAGCCACGTTTATCGAAAAAACTGGCAGATTGCCTTTGATTCGACGGAAAAGTCAGACTCGTCACTCCATAAATGTCCAAGTCTGAGAAACTGCAGAAAATGTAGTGACGGCTATTTTTTTTCTGGATCTTTCAACTACGCTCGCGCGCGATGCAAAACCTGTCATTTTGTTTCCACTACACAACAAATAACAAAGTAGTGTACACCAAATAAGTTTATTTAGGGAAGCCTGCCGAGAACCAACCCGAGGCATATATAGCCCGGGGAATGCATACATACATATATTCGCAACTGATATACCATATACAATCCTGATATACAGTCAATTCCTTACACATTAAAAAAAAAATGTATACATTACTAACATGCAAACTTCACCAGGTCTGGATTAACAGAGATGGGCAACCGCTTACAAGGACATAACTACGGTTATACAGAGGCCAGAAAAAACCCCTTTGGGGAAAAAACATGACAGGAAATCTGGGTAGGAACCATGGCCCAAACTCAGAGCAGTTGGCAGCCCATCCTACGAGGCTTCACAGCTAAAGAAAATATGTTTTCAAACTAAAATAAATTTGTCATCAGCCAGAGGTGAACGGTTGGTTCTGAGGCCTAGATGGACACCACGTGATATACTTTCCTTTATATACCACTGCATCATTACCCATGATGCTCGTGCCTAAGGCCCAGGCCTTGTCGTATCTCGTGCCGACAAAATGTTATTTCTGCCTTATTCGCAGACTCATTCGTCAGAAATACCATTTTTCATTCATAACGTAGAGAAGACGACCTTGGGGATTCATTAAGATTACTAATCACTTCGCGTGCAAATCTCCCAATATCATTTACTATATAACTTGCACCTTTTGCAAAAAAGTTATACATTAGTGAAACAGGAAGACGACTAGGTGACAGATTCCGGGAACACCCTCGCGACATAAAAATATATGACAAGGACGCATCCAAACCAGTCGCCAGACACTTTAATCTCCACAATCATTCTAAGCAGCATATGATAGCTTGCGGTTTTTCCTTACATCTAGGCAGTTCGGAAAGCTGCAAAACTTTAGAACAAATACGTAACTTTTGAATCGCACACTACCCCACAGTATCAACGAAGGCTTTTCATTCAAATTATTTATTCTTGTTTTTCTCGTTATCATGTTCCCACCAATAGCGTAACTCAATTATCTGCCAAAAAATACGATGGTTGGTCGTTTTGTTTGTCAACCTTTATTTGCTGTGTTACATTAGGGAGAAACCGCTTTCCCTTTCTGAATTAACTGATGAGGGCTACCCGTGTTCTTACTTATTTTCGAGTGATGGTAGAAGGATAATCTTTCCATCCGCTATTACACGTTCTACTTTCTCTCTGCGCCTCGTGCCTCTCGTTCGTGCCAAAGCTGCTACATCATAATTACAATAATTTTTCTTTTCAACTAATTAAAAGCCGATAAAAATCAATTGATGCCCTTAGAACCACCCCAAAACTATGAAAATGACACCTACTCACTGTATCACTGGGGAGAGAATTGCATTGGAGCTAAAAAAATCACAATTTCAGCTGTTTCCAACAAAAAGCACTTATTTAAGTCGTAAATTTAACTTGATTTTTGTTTTACTAGGAATGGAGAGGCAAGTCGCTCTCCTGCTTCAAAAGAACATTACTGTCAAAACTGAATGACACTGAAATTTATATATTTCAACACGATTCAGATAATTTTCGCAGAGATTTTTTGTTAAGTTCAACAGGTGTTTGCACATTTAAAGGGTGGTCTCTTCGTATTCAGGTTCCAAGTATATTTGCGAAGGCGAGGTTGGTCGATTTACCATTTGTTTGCAATCCTGTATCATTTATTTCATTGTGAAATTCGAAGGAATGCAGTCCTCTTCCACTACAACTTCTCTTTCGGGACTGTCAAGAGTTACTTCTTGCCTCCCATCGTCTTGTTGAGAGGACGGTATTTTGCTGTCAGAACCTGGTTCACTGTTAGCCAACTTAGACTGTGTTTGGCAAGGAGATGTATACACTACTCGAATTTTCTGCAAAAGTTCTGTTGGAAAGGTGTCCTCTGACAATACGAACAGTCTATGATCGATCTCTGTAAGACATTTCTTAACATAGGCGCACCCGTCTTCAAAGGTCGTTCTTTCGCAGTGAAGTTTCTTGGGTTTTTTCCAGCCAAATAGATTAGAAATGCCTTGGAATAAATAACTTATCATAAATTCGGCCAAGTCGAGCTCATCTACCACAGAATCTAGATTATCCTTGACCTCCTCCAAAGCACAGTTCAAAATGACGATAATAAGATTGAGGAAAAAGAGGGTCATAGAGCAAATGTAAAGGATGGAAAACAAAAAGGAAAGAAAAGGGTTTACTTTTGCCATTTGAAAAGTGGGCACAGCCTTTCCGAGTAGGAATTCAAACTGAGCCACACAGGCACGTGGGAAACTGGAATAGGACTCCACAACAGATCCAAATGCCATCATACCAGACATGGCAAACGAACAGAAAATGATAATGAAAACGAACGAGAAGGAAAACAAATATTTTCCAGCAAATCGAACTGTTATCGACAGAAATACTGTTTGCTTGCTAAAGCGTAGGAGTCTCAGCAGCTTAACTGTCGCCAGAAAGATGACGATGGACAGAGCAGCAGTTTCAAAGTGCATCAAACGTAAAGGTTTGTGGAAGCTGACCATGGCATAAATGTTCCTCTGAAGTTCCTTTATGGTGTCTTCCATAGCCTTCTCTCGAATGATGTGAAGAACTACAGATGTTATAGAAGTTATGATAAGAGCTAGAATAAGCCAGTTCCAAATGTTTTTGAAGTATAACTTTCTTCGTCGGTACATTTTGACCACTTGAATCACACTGAAGGCAATGATCATGACCAGGAGAAGAAGACGACAAAGTAAGACAAACTGCACTGAACCATTCTCTGTTCCATACAAGCTCAACATTTGCACACTAACATATTTGAAAACACCACCTGTTGGCAGGAATTCGAAGATGTAATGTGCGACCACGAGGATGTTAATGTTACTGTTGAAAATGTTAAATTCCAAGACGACAGCTCGAGTTCGCCGATCGATCCAGCTGTTCTCATTTAAGTTCTTCATAACGTTTCTTGCTGTTTGCAAGTCGTAGCCTAGATCGGCAACATAACCACCTCCTCCATATGTTCCTCGAGGGGTTACTTTTGGTAAACTATTTATTTCTTCTGAGGTATGATACCGCCAAGGCTTAGGACATAATATATCGAACGAAGAACGTGAAACACCAGTTGGAGGAAGTTTCCATTTCGGGAGGTACACTGGTGTTTTATCTTCACAGCAAATGGCATAGTTAGGATAGCATACTTCAGTAACGTTATAGATTTCCACGAGTATCTTAGGACAAGAGTCTGTTGATCAAAACAAAAAATGCACCAATGTTGCTACATTAAGCACAAAAAGAAGTAAATTCAGCGCATATAGGAGAGTAAATACAAAAAAATCCTCATCACGGGTTTTGACAAACGTGTTCCTCTTGAACACCCAAATTTTGTATCAGAGCAATCCAGACTTGCCTGAGCTACTTTCATGCGCCTCTCAATAACATGCTAACGTTGACCAAACCGAATCTGCAATTTAAATTCCTGCTGCCGCTAATCATGACCGCAATAATTATCTAAAAGCAATAACAAAAAAAACTTGGAGTGAAATCCTCCTTTCAACAACCTGAAAAACGATCGTTGAACCCGTGAAACAGACCATATTTTTGAAAGCCTTGATATTGTTATTTTTAGTGAGGATATTTAGGGCAAATTTTCGTCGAAAACAAACTTAAATCCTAGAGTTGAACCCTTAGAAAAACTAAGAAGTGACTACGTAGATCCCAACCCCAAATTTACAGCTTTTCGGCTTCCTCTACACTATTTTCTATTTTTTAAATAGAAGGCCCTTAGCAGAAAGAAGGTGCCTTGTTTTAATATCACCATTGCCATGAGATATTCATCCTGGAAAGGAAAGCTTATAGCCCTATACACTTTGGTGCCGAAGCCTAGGCACAAAAAACATCGATAAACGGGTAACAAAACTAAGCTACCAAAGTTAAAAAAACTCGAAGAACACGAAGAAAATCAAAACTGTAACTCGTTGTCCTTGAAATAGCTGGCTTGATTGACAAATGAGCAGTGGAAAGTAACGTGGGGCAGAGAAAAAATAATATTTTACACCACGCTTACCTCTTACGATCCTCAGTTGTCTGATCCTTGGCATGCCAATCAAAACAGAGCTCATGTCACTGATGTACATCTCGTTGCTGTCCTTATCGCCGTTGTACCAATGTGATGTGTACATAGCAGGAGCATAAATGTTAATCAACCACGTCCACAATCCCAACGCCTCATGTACCTAAAAATATTCCCCCCCCCAATAAAGTGTTACCGATTAACATGTAACTGTAAACTGTGAATATATTACTTTATTTTTTTTCTCAGTTCTTGATCGGGCGGTATTCTAAAAATCCTGCAATCGGATTGGTTCCGAGAGCGGGCAGTATTCTCCCCATCCGGCCCGCTCACAGCGGGCGGTATCCGGAAAAAATGCTTCGAAGTTTTCTTGGAAGCCTTTTAAATCACCTTTTAATATCATTACGCAAATAAATATGTTTTGATGAAAACTCTCTCTTTCATTTGCACTGCCCTTGTTTTCTCTACCATCTACTCGCTCATAAATTGTTCCGTTTCTGGAGAATCTTGCCGTAATTACAGCCCTTTATCATTCAGGTTCTTTTCGCAATCATTTGTTAGATTTTAGAAAAAAATAAAAATGTTATTCACCAGCCAAGGTCGGTCCGTATTAGGAAAAACTGTGCCCTCTGTCTTGTGTACCGCCCGAGGCCGTATCCAAGACCTCGGGCACATTTTTTCCCAATACGGACCTCTCGTCAGCTGAATAACATATATATATGGCATTTAAAACTTCCAATACCTAAACGCAAATTCACAATTGCTCATCATAATTACAAGATCCTCCTTATCTAAATGCGTAATTTTTTTGATAGACGGTCCCACAAATCACAGAAGTTCTAAACTAAATCAGTTGCAAGGGAACTAAGATCATAAGATTGCTGAGTTCCTTATATAATAACAGAAGTACCCAACAAAAGTCTTTTCTGCAAAGCAAAATATTCTTCATATTTCGTAGTCAGCGTCTTTTCTTGACTTTTGAATTTGAAATTTGGGCCTCAGGAATTAATCTGTCTGTCGCATGAAAACTTTAAATTCCGATATAGATATCAACAGGTCTAGCATGATTAAAATATGTCAAATCATAATTAAATGAATAAACTACCTTTTCACTTCGTGGTAAAAGGGCCTTGACTTCTCTACCTATCAGATATTGGTGATAATCTTGGTTTCCATAACACACAATACCAAGTATCAACAAAAATGAAACAAAGGAAATCAAAGATTTGAATGCTGACATGGTTTTCTTCTCATTGACTCTGTACTTTTTGTAACATTCCAATTGCGTGGCATCTGGTAAGGCTCCCTTAAAAATGTCAGGTGGTTCATCGTCCTCCACTGCCATGCAACTGCAATATAATAATAAGTTACAAATTTTTGATGATCCCAAAGTATAATATTTTTCAAAGATCAAGGAAGAAGGGTTTTCGATTGTGTTGGCCTGAAACCAGACTGAGAGAAAAAATCGTATGAGCAAATCACAGCAAATTAAATTTGAGCAGGAACCAATGGATCAACGGTTTAAAAGACGCGAAAAATCTATCAAAGTAAGTGAGCATTGTCTTAGTTCTGCTCTTGATTGTGCAAGAATTCAGTGTCCTTGTATTGGGAACGACAACTTTGTAGTCGTACCGCTATTTCACTTTAAATCAACCCAAAATCAATTTTGTACAAGAACTTACAGAAACAGAAAAGAAGCAACATTGTCTGAGTACCTCAAAAAGCTTACACCGATAGCATTATACCTGGCTCTTATGGTGGAGACAAGGCCCGTACAGAGGTTTATTGGTATATTAGGGATTCTACGGTTACCTTTTCTTAGACGAGAGGTTCACTTTTGTTCTATTTGCTTTGGTTATTAGCATGGCGGCGGCAGCGGCTAGCATAACAAGACGCACAGGTTGAACTGCAAGGATGTCCATTGTTATGGACATCAGGATTGATGAAAGCCATTCATCAGCCGTCTCCTTACCCCACATAAGACTGTAGAAGAACACGACTGTGGCAGAGGTTATGGCAGTGGCCAAACAAAGAAACCAAGCAACGTAAAGAAAAATATGGTGCAGGGGCTTGTTTCTATCGTCATCCACTTCCACGGAATCTTGATCTTCCTTTTCACCTGACTGATTGCAACAGTACTTGTCGAGTTTTGACCTGGAGTTTTTGAAGAGGGCAACAATGAGGAAATTGATAGGAGCTATTATCAAGCAGCTTTGAATCGTTATTATGATTTGCTTCATCGAAATCTTTAATGGACCAAGTTTGATTCTACTCCCCGACGGTTCACCTGCCAAGTTAAAAAACACTGCATTGGCCAGCATGGCGCTGAATATGACGGACAAACAACACGTGACGCGTTGAGTGCGTGTAAATGAACTTCTCGGTCGTTTAGTAACTAAAGACATCCATAAATGTTTTTCATACAGCGTACCAGACAGGCGCGCGCGGAATGCCTCTTGAAATTCAGGAAATGAGTCAGTGGTTTCGACCAACAACTTTCTAGCAATTTTTCCATCGTCCTTATCGGGAGAAAACCACTGATTGCATAAAAATTTCCATTTTTGACTTGTTTCTTGTTCTTTAACAACAATGTAGTCCAAGAACCAAGAAGGACTTTCTCCAGAATTGTCATGCCAAACATGAGCGTGGCTTAATGTTCCAAGGGATGCCGGAAGTGAGACAAGGTACTTGTTGACACTACCGCGGGAAAGTAGCAACCGGGAAGGATAAAGGTCCCCACGCACAGTAATTGGTCTACTGTTGCCGTGGCTACCGTAAAACACCATAGTAACTTTGGCTGTTGTACCACTATCTGACCACACACCTGTACTGATTGTGAGCTCATATTGGTGGACGAGAGGGGACTCCTCTGTTTCCAACAGAATCCTGGACCCATGCTAAAAAAAGAAAGAATGGATTGTTAGTCTTATTTTCCACTTTAACACAATTACACTACCCGACTACAGATGTACGTGGTGTCTCAAAGTTTTCTTGGGAAGAGGAGAACAATCTATATTCATGTGAGTTAGATGTAGATGAAACCCATACCATCTACCATTAAAGTAATTCCTATCTTTTCTTATCTTATCTCCAATCCTAGGCTAACCCCTGTCAGTGTTGCTTTCCTGTACTACTTAATTTGACATTGTGCTATCAAGGAGCATCAACAATTTAACTCTAATAAACAACAATCAATAAAGTGAAGCAGTAGGGTATTAGTTTCTCGTCGGTAGGAAGGACAGATCGGCTTGCACAACCTTTTCATGAAGTTTTATAGAGCGAAAATTATTTATTTCCCCTTAAAAGAAATCTTCTTTGATAACATTGTTTGGCAAAATCGCTGCAAATTCATAGATCGAGTCATAAAAGTTATATCCATATTCAGGTCTTCTCTTTTTGAGCTGTAGTTATTATATTATACATATTCTCTCCAATTAATAGAGCTTAAAGCTTGGCTTTGAGACTGAGATTCGAATGAATTTTTAGTGCAAATGGGAAATTGTGGTTGTCTTCTATCTTAAGGTGTTGAAATTCTGTAAAAAAGGGGAGGATTTTGAAGAAAAAGCTACTGATTAAATCCCTACCTTAGCAAGATCTCTTCTATCCGCCCTCTTGGCGAAGACGAAGGCGATACAATACAACATGAATGAAAGAATGATCGTAAGCAGGACGCTAAAGTTATCAGTTTCGTCAAGGCGGCCGAGCTCTTTAAGAACGGTATCCATGTCAATTGGGTTGGGTGCTACTAAAAGGCTTCCACCGAACGATGTAAGGTGGTTACAGAGACAACGAAGACGATGCTTATTGGAAAGAGGTCCGACCTGGGGCGTGAAGGAAAAACAATTTTAGTGATTATGGTTATTTTAACAAACACATCGAAGGGTTATCGGTTGAGAGTATAAAGTAATCGAAATTTGCTTCTGTTTTTTATTTACTACGTTTTATGATTGGTATCAGAAATTCTAATCAGTTATAAACCAATCCATTGCTACAGTGCAACTAATTGCGACCTCTGCATAAACATTTAACTCGCTTGACTCTGATCAAAACAATTTAGTAATTTCAAGTGTACACAAGTTTTGTTAAGTCTCTCTAATCTTATTTAGGAGGGAAATATTTGAATAACACTTTACCATGTTGCACCTCAGCACCAGCCGAGTACCAAACTACCGAAGAAGATTACGACTGAGAGTAGTGTGAGCGTTAGATTTATTTGTCCTCGGCATACTTTTTCCAAAGTTTTGACCAATAAAAAGTTGATGAATTTTTCTAACAGTTTAATGCTCGGCATCGTTACTGGGCCAATCTAAATTTAATCACACCGCAAGCCTCTTTATCTGAAATAAATTTAAGCAGTATACCTTGCAGCCCTCCGTTAGCCATTTCTGTTCTTCATGTGACCAAAATCGGCAGCTGAGTTCATCAGAGACAAGTGTGTAGTTCACGCCAACGCGCGGATCATAAGCTGATAAAACTCCCAGAGGGGGTGGAGGGTCTTTTGTCTCAACACATGACCGTTTTTTCCTGCTGGTGCTAAAACAAGACCTCCGCATACGATGGGAATTGCTGCCAGGGGAAGAGTGTTGGGTATAGAGGATCCCTACAAAATAAACTCCAGGTTTTTGTATTACTGCATTTGTCAAAAGCAGTTGATTTGGATGACGGCTGCAGTTATACTCTTCATCATCGCCATCGATTATAAAGTTTCTCGTGCATGAAGAATAGTCTGGGACAGTGAAATTCGCATCAAAATCATTCGTTGTTGGCTTGCTATCGTATTTCACCAAAACGTCGAAACTCCCCGAAGACGCCATTGTTATGAGGTATGAGGTTCGTTCGCGATTCACTTCAATTTTATGATATTTGATGTTTCCTGGCTTGATAAAGAATTTGTTTTCATGATCAAAAACAGAGTCATTTTCAGGTGAATTTCCATTGCCGTTGAGGAGTTCTATTCCTAGTTGTATGTCGGTGGTAAGGTTCCGCACATTAAGGACTTCGCCAGACTCTCTTCTTAAATCAACCTCAACAATATATGATGCGATGAATGACGAGGTGGTACTCCTGTTATAATAGTTGACTTTCGACGAAATTACCTGAGGCGGAAAAATAATCAATGTTGCTTTTAGCCTGAGTTTTTCGCATTAGCGAACTATTATTTCCCACAGAACGCACACAAAGAATAACCGTACAAATCTCCAAAAATTCCAAGCTGCACTTTAATTTTTGAGCAGGTCGAATGGAATCGAATGCAAGTTCCTCTTCTATCTGTTAATCGGCTTTGCAAATGGCTCATCCTACTATTACCTTTTAGAGTCAGATTTCAGATCGCAAACCAAATGTGATAAACATAACCATACCTCTATGTCAACGTACTCCCCTGTGTCAGCAAGCATGTCTCTCATATTTTGTGACTCAGGAAACTGAATGTGACACGTTTCTAAGGTAAGTACAGAACCTGCCACATGTTCTGGATGACGTCTTGCGACAAGAACCTCCAAAGGTTCCGTTTTTATCACAGTTGGGTCCTCTCCGACAACTTTTCTCTTCACCACAGTCTGCAACACTCTACGCATAATTTCCAAAGAAGTCTACATTGAAAAACCAAACATTAACGGAGTTGAAGCCAAATGGAAGGGTTGTGGAGGTTTTAATTAACCTTAATTTCACAGAACTAAAGGAGTGGAGTTGCAAGCATACCAGAATGGTTTGGTTTTTTTCGCTTTTGAACCCTTCAACCTCGAATACACACGAACGAATGGAAGGACAGGCAGACTATAAATTAACTCTCGTTCAAGAAAAACATTCAGTAAAACAGTCCTTCTCCCAAATGGACCGTGACTGAAAGTTTCACCATCTATACATTCAGTTTTTAGCGCTGATTATTTATTATTCATTTGGGTCTAGTTAGTGAAACCACAACACATCACCTGTATCCTCTGAGTAAGAGGAGTTGATCGCAAAAATAGCGCGAAAGAAAAATGTGTTTGTCGGGGAAAGAAAAAAGAATCGTCTCGCAGAGATTCACAATTTCTCTCCCCGGTTTTTTGGTTTGCCTCCTTTAACCGAAAGCCTTGATCAGGTTTTACAAAGATAACCCTCAAATCTTTCTTCGTTAGGGGCTATTAAGGAGGATAAACAAGGAGGGGTAAGGATAGGAGAAAGCACAAAGAGTTCCATGTCCATGTTGAAGAAGTTGTAAAGAAATTTACGCAACATTTACACAGCCAGAGACTAAAAAGCTTTTGAGAAAAGAACGGGTGCTTGTTAATACTTACAGTTATGTTTAGGGAACTAGAGCTCTCTATAGCACCATTGTCACTAGATAAAACTTGAAGCTGTTTTCCGATAGAGTAAACCAGATTCTTCTCGGCTATGCGAGAATAAGGCACATCAAATGCATATCCTCTTGCACTGATATCGTCAAATGACTTTGTCATCTTCTGCACCATCTCCATTATAAATTCCTGCCGATCGAGAGAAAGACTTTGGTTTAGGATTTAGGGCGTACCCAGGAGATATCATTTAACAGCTGTGTGCTGCAAACCTTGTTGTTTTTATAATGTGCATTAACTCTGTTATCATGCTGACTAGCTTCTTAGCTCTATTGTAAAAAAGGTCCACTGGGTCTCCATCCGTTTTTAAGTCTTGGCAACCAAGCTCAAAGGCACATTAGGCCCGAATAACAGAAAAAGTAAATTTTAACTTCATCCGTCGATTAAAGAGCGAAGGAGCAATGAAAAAGCTTAGCTCCCACCAGCCACACGATAATCGAAACCCTTTAAGTTCGGCCAAACTCTGGGCCTATAAGTAACATTCCCTCTGTGTTCCTCAGGAAACGGCAATGTCAAAAGCGTCATGTGGTAAAATGGACTGTTTCTTGCCATAACTGCCTAAAAACGATAGTCAAGCAAGCACATAGAGGCTTACTTAAGCCTTCTCAAATAGCAACTAAATTATTTGCACATATCTCCGAGTCATGTTCCATGCAGTGTCAACTCGTTTCTCACATAGAAAAATTCAAATGACACGCAAGTTTCTTGGAATATTGTTTCAGAGAAACCAGGTGCCTAGAACACTGTCTACAGAAGGGAATTCTGTTTCGTAACGTCCCCTCTCTTATTTGACGTGATCATCAATTCTAGCTGGTCAAAAGAAATTGGAATGTAAGGCAGCTTTTCTATCTTTAGGAAATGAGTTACCTCTAAAACTCAGGACATTATAATGTTCAGTGCATTTTTAAGGCCCTTAGTACAATAAGGGTGGCATATGAATGAATTGTCAGCTAAAGCTGCGAAGGGGCATCATGGAAGAATGGAAAACATTGCATCAATAATACAATCGTGAAAATAGGACTAAGATGAAAGACTAACCATAGTATCCGCTGTGATCTCTGCTGGATCATTCATCGTAAGAGAAATAACAGAAGAGAGTTGAATGAGCTTCCTCAGGTCTCCAATATCTATCTTGCTCAAGGTCTTTACGATGAGGCTTTTGATCTAGAAAATAAGAACTTTATTCATACCGAGTGCTCATGAAGTGAGTCGTGCACACATCATACCAAGTGGATGTAACAAATAGGAAATACCCGATATGCAGCACAGAGGAACACTGTAGCACTAGAACCCAATCATTACGTTCAGTATATTGTGTCCAAAGTGATAGCCAATTAATGTATTTATTCTGAAACCCTTTTAGTTCGACAAGCATATTATTTTGACCCACGACCGCTTTTTCTATACTTATGCCTTCTGAGCATTACCTTTTTATCTCGACCAATAGAAAGAGTGCACCAGTAATTTTAGCCCGGCTATTTTGGAGTCTTTCAGCTGAATATTACCTAGTTAAACTTTGTCTACCTTTTAATGAACATCACTGCGTTTTTCCTACATTTAGCGACCGGATCTTTTGTTCATGATGCATCCAGCAAACTATTATTATTATTCCCTGACCGGCACTTTAATTCGACTGCATTCCATAACCTAGCAGTGATTTTAGTGGAATAGGAACTTCTTACATTATCTAGTAATGGAGAATGGTGAAAAAGGTATCTTATCACGTAATCAAGTCTCGAGCGAAAGGCATACGTATCTATCTAGACGAGTACAAACAGTAAGAAAGTTTGAGAACGAAAGCAATCTTTAACTTTCATTCAAGTAATTTTGCTGCTATGGCTTTGGTTTTATAAACAGCGATATCACTGTGAAACAAAGAATACCCGTTTCTGTTTTCCTAAACTTTAACTAAACTTGTCACCAATTCGTTACCTGGCGTCTCCCTTCTATATTGATAACTTCGTCTTTCTGTAGCTCTAAGGATTTTAAAACAGCAATGGCCAACTGGGTAGCTCGTGTAACATCTCCTCTACCACTATGGACGACGAAGTGCTTTTCCAAAAGATGGAGTATTTCGCCTGACGCGTTTTTTGTACTCATCATAGGCCAAGGAAAAACCTGAAAGTTGAAAAAAGAATATCAGGGAGTATCTTTCAGCGGAAAGTTTGGTTGATATGACAGAGTTTTCCCCAGGACCCAATAGATTTTCATAACTGTAAACTTTTATTAAAAAAAACCATACTTGTGTCTATACTTGCCTCCAATGAAATTCACGGCTCACCTGGATCGTTAAAGAATTGCTAGAACTAGAACCAATGGAGTTTGCAACTACCGCTTCGATTGTTAAGGAATAGTTTTTCACGAATTCACCGGGAGGTAGCACTATCTCG